GAAACATTCTGTCCCCTCCCAGCCTCCTTCAACTGGAGTGGGCAGCATGATGGGCAGGGGGCTGTAGATGGAGAGCAGAACATCTGCCACGCTGGGCCATGCTGCCAGCACCGGGCTTCATTCCTAAGAGTGAAGTGCAAAACCCAAGCCGTCTTTACAAGACTTACTAGTTGGAGAAGGGATGATGGGGAGATCCCCTCCGCCTGCCCTGGCCATGGCATGGGCTGGTATAGAATCATAGAATCATTAAAGTTGGAAAAGACCTCAAGGATCATCAAGTCCAACCGTCAACCCAACACCACCCAACCCACTAACCCATGTCCCCAAGCACCACATCTACATGTTTCTTGACCCCCTCCAGGGATGGTGACTCCACCACTTCCCTGGGCAGCCTGTTCCAATGCCTCATCACTCTTGCAGTGAAGAAATTTTTTCATTGGGGTTAGAGGCCAGAGAACCTGGCTTGGTGGCTGGGGGGGGCAGCACTCAGCACGGCCCCTCCAGCCAAGCAGGTGGGATGGCAGGGCTCATGCCATCCACCCAGCTGGGCAGCTCAGGGGTCTGCCGCCAGCTGCGGTACTTGGAGTCAATCTCCAGTGAACGTGTGAGCTGTGGCCACTCGCATGATGCTAAGGATGGGTCATGGCCAATCTTCATTTTCTGAAATGTTCCTGCTGCAGACAGAGCTGGTGGGAGGGGACGTAACCACCAGTCTCTCTTCTACCCTCCTAGCCAGTGGTGTGGAAGATGGGCCATGTCCCCTGGGAGCCACCCACCATCCCCTGGCCCTGTGCTGCGGCAGCTGGGTTAGGAGCCCAGCCAAGCCCTGCGTTTGGTTCTTGCTTTTCCCTCCAATAACAGACAGGCCAGACCCAGACCTGGGTTTCTTGGGGATGAGGGCAGGATAACCTCCTTTTGCTGTTGGGAATACTTGGGTGGCGTGGTGGTGCAATTTGGAGGGGATCCAGCCCCTGGCTCAGAGAAGCCACCATGCCCATGTACAATGAGATGCTGCTAGGGCTGAGACATGGCAGGGAAAGTGGTGCTGGACCCAGGAGCCCTGGAGGTTCATCCTGGATAGCTCCTGCCTCTTGCAAAATGTCCTTGTGAGGTGTTCTTGTTACTGCTCCTTTCTTCCACGCTGGCAGGAGCTGTTTCAGGCTGTGGTTGGATAACTTGGAGTTTGCAGCTATTGTTGCAGCTGAGAGGTCTCCCCAGCAATTCTCTGCCACCAGTCCTTGGCAGCTGGGCAGTGACAGAGGTCTCTGAACCGTGCGTGACAGCTGGGGCCGCTGGCTGGTGTGAACGTTCCTGTCTCCCCCAAGACAGTTTGTAAGAGGTCAGGGAAGGGCTGGACCTTGATTTCAACCTCCTTCCAAAGCTCAGCTCCTTCTGCCATTTCCCATGGTATTTTACTCCTCTTGATGAGCAGCAAGGGGTTGGTGTGAATAAGGCAGCACAAAGTCATCACCTCCCTGCCCTGCTTCCAGGATGTTGCAGCAGCAGAAATGGGGTGGGAAGGCAGGCACAGGTTGAGGGCCAGGCATAAGGGTGTTCCTCATCCCTTTCCAGCCTCCCCGCACGGGCAGTGCCACGGCCATGCTGCTCCCGGCGGGGCTGCCAGCGCCATTCACTCTCTTTGCTCTTGCCCTAGGGAGGAGCCGCTTCCCTTGCCCCAGGAGGATGGAGGTCCTGCAGCTCCTGCGCCTGCTCCTCACCACGGCCATGCTGGGTGTCTCCCAGACAGTGAATCCCTTCGTGGCCCAGCAGACTCCGCCAGACCCTTGCTATGATGAGAATGGCGCTCCTCGCCGCTGCATCCCTGAATTCGTCAACGCCGCCTTCGGGAAGGAGGTTCAAGCCTCCAGCACATGTGGGAAGCCCCCGACGCGGCACTGCAATGCCTCGGACCCCCGCCGAGCCCACCCACCCTCCTACCTGACTGACCTCAACACAGCCTCCAACATGACGTGTTGGCGCTCGGAGACTCTCCACCACTCTCCCCAGAACGTCACCCTCACCCTCTCCCTTGGCAAGAAATTCGAGGCTACGTCAGCCTCCAGTTCTGCTCGCCCCGGCCCGAGTCCACCGCCATCCTCAAGTCCATGGACTACGGCAAGACTTGGGTGCCCTACCAGTACTACTCCTCCCAGTGCCGTAAGATCTACGGCAAGCCCAGCAAAGCCACTGTCACCAAGCAGAATGAGCAGGAGGCCCTCTGCACCGACGGCACCTCTACCCACTCACCGGCGGGCTCATCGCCTTCAGCACCCTTGATGGGCGCCCCTCTGCCCAGGACTTTGACAGCAGCCCCGTGCTCCAGGACTGGGTGACGGCCACTGACATCCGCGTGGTCTTCAGCCGCCCGCATCTCTTCCGTGACCTGCCTGGTCGGGATGCTGGAGAGGAGGAGGGGGGCACCGGCTCGACCCCCTATTACTACGCAGTGGGAGAGCTGCAGGTCGGCGGGCGCTGCAAGTGCAACGGGCACGCAGCACGCTGCGTGAAGGACAAGGAGCAGAAGCTGGTGTGCGACTGCAAGCACAACACGGAGGGTCCTGAGTGTGACCGCTGCAAGCCCTTCCACTACGACCGGCCCTGGCAGCGGGCCAGCGCCCGCGAGGCCAACGAGTGTCTGGGTAAGTGATTTTTAATTTTTTTTTTTTTTTCCTGGGCTGAAACTCCTAAGCAGGTCATTGCGGAAGGAAGATGCTTGCTGAGCCAAAGTGATGGAGCGTGCTTGTCCGGAGATACTGGGGAGCATGCCCCTCGCTGGAGGGCTGGGAAAGGCTCAAGCATCTGCCCTGTCTCTGCTGCGGGTACCATCCTGGAGGTGCAGTGGTTTGGCCATGAGCCAAAGCACTGAAACTCTCTGAAAATTCACCAGTGTCTTCCAGCTGGTCAGCAAACCTCAGTGTAGGATGCTGGATGCCCGGCTGGGGGTGTTTCCCTTGGGCAGCAAACCGGCTGCCCCTGGGCCAGGAGGGGGAACCATGGTGGTCCCCTGTGAGATGCGCTTTGGGACAGGGAGCAGGCAGCAAAGCCTGTCAGGAAATGCTTGAGACACCCTGATTTGACATTTTATCGTGTGCATTCAGTCTGGAATGGTGCTTTGTGTGCCAGTTTTAGCTTGTCTGTCCTTGCAAAGGTTTCCATGAGTTAAAAATATTGTAATCAAAATGAAACATTTCCAAATGTCAAACTGTCAATTGCTTGAATGTCCATATTGTGAATCTCTGTGGGATTATTTTGGAGGTTTTTGCCTTTTGTCCGGATTTGAGACGCAGTTGAGGGATGCCAGAGCCCTGCGAAGGTCTGGGAGAGGGACAAACAGCTTCTTGCTCCTCCTGGACCAGAGCCTGAACCCCAGGGAGTGGCAGGAGGATGGAGACAAGGGAAAGCCCCTGAAAGGCTCAGTGGATGTGCCAGAGGTCAGAGGGACTTGTTAGTATTTGTGATCAATGTCTTGTTGAGATCCCAGCTGTCAGCTTAGATATATATATGTTACAGGGGATTTCTTAGGCTTCTTCTTTAGGCTGGATATTAGGAAAAATTTCTTCACTGAAAGAGTGGTCAGACATTGGAACAGGCTCCCCGGGGAGGTGGTTGAGTCACCATCCCTGGAGGGGGTCAAGAAACGTGTAGATGTGGTGCTTAGGGACATGGGTTAGTGAGTTAGGTGGTGTTGGGTTGGACTTGATGATCCTTGAGGTCTTTTCCAACCTTAATGATTCTGTGATTCTATGATTCTATGATTCTTCTAAGAATGGATAAAAAGGCAGCAGATTCAAAGCAAGTGCTGGAGCCAATGCTTTAAACCACCTCATACCTTGTGGGAATGTGTCAGCCCTTGCATTTCCCCCCTTGTCTCAGAAAGATGAGTTTTGGAGCAAAGCTCAGGAAAAAACCCTCAGCTCTGTGCCCTTCCCACATCTCCTGCTTCCAGCTACCGGCAGGTCAGGCAAGGGAGAGCTCTGGCGGGTAGGTCAACCCATGGGAACTCCCTGGGACAAAAGGAGGACCCTGACCCGATGGCTGCCACCCCTGTGGCACCCAATGCTGCACCCTCTTCGCCGCTGAATCCTCCAGTACAGCAGTGGGATGGCAGCAGAGGTGTCTGTGCCAGCACAAAAGGGGTTAAACTGGAGGAGGAAGCTCATTTTGGGGGAGCATCTGCAGATCTCCTGTCTGTCTGTCTGTCCATCTTGTCCAGCGCAGGGTGAGGGTCCTGCTCCGTGGGGCCGTGCTCCTGAGCATCCCTGCCCCCAGCTGCGTCACCCTGTTGGCAGATGGGGCTGAAAAGATAAACAAGGAAGAGAAGAGGAGGCGGGGGTGCAGCGCGGACCCTTCAACCTCCCCCCTGACAAGCCCCGCACACAAAGACCCTTCCCCGAGCTGTGTGTGAAAGTAGTTTTTCCTGTTGATTTGCTCCCCTTCTTTCTCCCTTTCTCCTCTCGGGCTTTGTGCCCTCTCTGAAGGGACCTGAAAGAGCTTCTCCATCACCCGCCTCCGAAGGGCTTAGCGGCTGAAAGCTGGATTAGCTTCCCGAGCCTTCCCCTCTGTGCCTTTCAACAATGACATCTCCCCAGCCAGCATGAACAGACGCAGCAATTAGCACCAATTAAAAGGAGAGGCCGCCTGGGAAGTTCCCTTTGCTCAGCCTGGGGGCTGCAGAGTTTCGGGCTCTGTCCTGTGGCCGGGCGTCAGTGATGCTGTCTCGTGGTGGTGGATCGTTGTTCGTGGCTGGGGAGGGATGAAGAGGAGGAGGGTGGATGGATGAAGGAGCTTGGCAGCGCAGTGCCAGCGTAGGGGCAGGGCTGGGGGGCTGCAGCACCCTGAAAGTGGATCTGGATGGAGCTGTGGGGCTGGTACAGCTTCAGGTCATGTTGGGATGTCCCCTCTTGGTTCTGCCCTGCAGGGGGGTTTGTCCCCATCCAGTGCATGGGAGTCCCTGCCTGCTCCAGCATGGGGACAAAGCGATGTCCTGCACCATGTGACAGAGCTGGGACATCCATCCACACAGCTGGAGGCGAGGACAAACTTTTCTCATTTCGCAAGAACTTCTGCCTCTGGCTGGCAGAGGGAAATGCAGAGGTGACACATCCCAGTGATGCTGGAGGTCTGAGCATTGGCATGGAGCACAACCCCACCACGGCTGCCATAGGTGGCCATGGCATTTGCAGGGACATTGGTGTGCTGTGGTGTTACAGGGGTCAGCATGGCTTAGGCAAGCCGGCAGGTTTGGGGAAGTTGTGGCCAGGACGGCAACAGTGGATTTGCCCCAAGAGGGCACGGTGCCAGCTCAGTGCCGCAGGGTGCGTGGCCCCGTGCCTGGTAGTTAGAGAACTGTGCCATCAGTCCACGGGCACAGGGGGTTCTCCTGAGACCGCAAAAGGGCTGTGTGTGCTGTGGGGGAGTTTGCCCTGCCAATATCGGGCTGCTTTGGGTACTCTCTGGTCTGCCCTGCCCAAAACAGGGGAAAGAGAACAGCAAGAGAGATGTGTCCTCATCTGTGTGTCCTGCCAGCTTTTAGCCTGAGTCAGGCTCAGTGAAGGATAAACCCGGCAGAACAGCCAACGGGAGCAGGATCGCCAAAATCCTGAGCCTTTGCCATGTGATGCATCAACTTTATTCTTGCAGACTCATGCCTCCTCCTTCCCACCGCCGCTGCCGGTCCCTGCCTGCACACACGGAGCTGCTCGGGGCAGCCCCGTCACCCCCTCGGCAGGCTGTCCCCAAAACACCCGGCCTGGGGAAGGGGGGAAGCGGATTAGCACAAGGCAGCCACTGGAAGTAATTGATGCACTCTCTGGTAATGCGGGAGCTCTTGTTCCCTTTGTGGCCGCCGCGGCGGGAGCGCTCCCCGGAGCACTGGGATAATGCACGGGGCTTGCTTTGATCCGGGGGGCTCGGTGGGGAAGGGGCTGAGCTCTCCTGGGAAGACCTCGCTGGTGGCTGCTCCCTCCGCTTTGGGCTGGGGGGCTGTGGCAATCGATTGGGGGTGTCAGTGGCTGAAAACACCGATCCCCAGAACGGTGATGGGATTTAGAGGATCCCACGTGCTTCCCCTGTGTCCTCTGCCCCTTCCTGCACGTTTGCTTTCTTTTTCTGTCTCAGTGCTTCCCACGTGAAAATTATCTCAGTAATCCCCCAGTGAGCTGGGCTGGGCTGTTTTACCCCATGGAGCAGGATCTGTGCTGCCAGTGGCCTGTTGGCTGTCACATCTGCAGCCCCTTCCCTTGGTGCATCTCCCCCAAGCTCCTCCCCAGCAGATGTGCTGGAAACAGCAGCGGTCATAGTCCTTCTCCAGGGAGAGCAGAGGGGAGTGCTTTGGAGTAGGTGGTGGTTTTCAGAGATGGGCAAGCAGGCAGCATCCTCCTGCCACCCCTGTCTGGGCACCTGCTCCTCGTGGGGTGCAGCATCCCAGCAGAGCCGGGGTACAGGGGGCAGGCAGCCACCGCAGTGGAGGGGATTAACACTTGTCTGACCATCCTGAGTCCTGCTTCTCCCTGGATGGGGCTGGAGTGGCTCAGCCTTGTCCCTCACACCCCTTGTTTCCTTGGTTTGCAGCCCCTTGGGGAGCGCTCTCTGCTTCTGCTTCTCCTCCTGCTTCTTGGCGG